AAATCGACTTTTGGAGAGAGAAAATGAGAAAACTAGTTTTTCAGGGGAAAAGGTGGCCTCCCACCATCCTACCATCTCCCTAGCAATGAAAATAGGGTCCCTACAAAAAATGGACCAAAACGGATGCAAAACGAAGGTTCGGGGGCCAAAATGCGCAGTTTGAGGCCCCGAAAACAGGCTGTTAGGCACCGGAAGTGGCGTATGACCACGAAAGTGGTCTCTCGGGCCACAGTGTCCCTCTAAAGGGATGAAATAAGGTGTGTGCCAAATATTGGAGCAAACGGAGGTAGTTAAGCGGTCCCGAACTGAGGCACACGACCGATGGTCCCGAAAACCGAAAACTGGGCTCCAAACAGGAAAAATGGCCTACGATCACGAAACGTAGCCTACGGCCACTGAGAGATGGTCTATGAGACCTTTCCCTCCCTTCGGGAAGAGAAAATAGAGAAAACAGGACCTGGTTCACAAACCGAGGCAAAGCACAAAAGAGCTTCGAAGTCCGGAGGCAAGGCTCGCAGCCGAGACTCCGCAACCTCAGAACGAGCACAATATGCAACATCACCGAGCGCTCAACTGGTGACGTCTGAGTCTTAAGGTTGGTCAAAAATGGGGTGTCTACAGGTATATTCCATTTTGCATCAATTTTATCATTTTGTATTTCAACATTTTCTTTATTAATTACTAATCCTTGATTAGGTATTGAGGGCAAAGTTGTTGACCTAGAACTGACTGATGAGTTACTTCTAAATAATCGATTCATTGTTCTTTTTAATTAATCAGTTTTACAGAGACCTTAATACATACCCTATTCTAGTCATGTTATCACATACCAAAATGGTTTGAGTACAGACCCTATTCGGGAGACCCCTATGTCCTATATTGCCTAACCCTATGGACTTGCTCTGGACAGGGAACGAAAGTGGGTGACTTAAACCAGGTGGATAAACACAGACCGATCTTGTGGGTGATTAAGATGAACTGAAAACTAGATTAATCAAATAAACAACAGAATTGATTAATTGAAAGAAACAAAGTAGTGAGAAATAGGATACAACATAACTTGGCTTTGATACCAAAACGGCATTACGAAATCAAATATGATTAAAATTGAATGAACACTCACTAACCAAAATCACTTAAATCATTTAAATAAAACTTTAATTGTAATACAGAAAATAACTTACAATTACAATTGTAGCAACTGCAAGGATCTTAATTGGGTTACAAACAGGGTGATTGATTCCCACTCATATATATGCATAGCTCTAAATATATCACATAAATTTTGTAAGTTTTACAAAATTTAAAGTCTGAAAATCATTATTAAAAGAAAAAATAATAAAAATAATAAAATTTGCCAGACCACGGGTGTATCTTCCCCAGGAAGCTGCACAAACAAAAATAAAATAAAAAAAACAAATGCTATATTATATTATATAATTTATATACCTTCCCAAGGGTGTATCTTCCCCAGGAAGCTGCACAAACAAAAATAAAATAAAAAAAAGAAGTAAACAGAAATGCACAGAAATGCTATATTATATTATATAATTTATATACCTTCCCAAGGGTGTATCTTCCCCAGGAAGCTGAACAAACAAAACAAAATAAAAAAAAGACGTAAACAGATCAGAGGAGATGAACTTGTATCTTTCCCAAAAGCAGCACTTCGGTTGAAGACATAAACAGATCAGAGGCAGCACTTAAATTTTGTGTTGAAGAACAAAGGGGCAGCCGGAGAGTCACTGATTTCAACACAGAACAGAGGCAGCCTTGAAGATTCAACACAGGTTCATCTCCTCCCTCTTCTCTCTTCTCTCTCTCTATTTCTCACTAATATCATCCGTATTTCAGATCTAAAAATTTGTGGATGGATACACCTCACCTCGAAGTGGTTCATGTGCTGTAAAGACATAAGAGAAAAGTAATTGAACCAGTGCTGTAAAGACAAAAGACAAAAGAGCAAAGCATTTGAACTAGTGATTGATATTGAATAATAAAGGTATGTACCACATCTTTTGTTTTTTTGTTTTTTTCTTTTGTTTGAACCATCCGCATTTGAACCATCCGTATTTCTTTTGTTTTTTTTTGAAAATAATCAGCGAAAAAAGCCCTATAATGGGTGTAACGGGCCGTTACGGCCGTTACGCCACCGTTACGACCGCTGCGTCGGCTGTAACGGCCGATACACCTGTGAATTTCAATCACACCGTAAAATCGGGGGTAACGCGTGGTGCCTACCGCCGAAACCGTTACGTAACACCGCATTTTTAAACCTTGTTAGAGAGTAATAATTCTCAAACTTACTAAATATATGATATAGTTATCTTCCTCTTCTGCATATTTGAACACAGATGGACTCCCTTAGAAATATATGCCATTGCGATTCGTTGACAAAGCAAGAAGTCCACAAGGATCTCATGGTTCTAAAACCCAAACTGGCTCTCTCAAAGGAACGTTAGTCATGCAATTGGATTACACACCTTGGCACCACTTACTTGTCTAAGTTCCAAAACTTCCCAATTTCTAGGGATCTACTACATAGACCTGCTTTTTTTCAAATTGTATCTAAAGCAATCATGTTTTTTCTCATTGCCTCATGTTTTTTCTCATTGCCTCCACCCACATCCTTCTTGGATTTCCTCCTTTCTTGCCCTTACTTCCAACTTAAACTAAATTACTCTTTTTCTTATAAGCGCATTAGTTGGTCTCCATCAAGGTTGGAGGAACTCGAGTATAGGATCATGGATCATAAGTAGTGGCGAAGCCAGGAATTCAGTGAAAAGGGGGCACAAATTAATAACAGTATTGATTTTACTTTTTTCCTCATAATAAACAACAATGAGATATTACTAAACGTAAATATTAAGAGTTTCTTTGGATAGATGTGAATTTTAAATTAAAGGATTTGAGGTTAAATTCTATACAAATATTGTTGAGTAACTATTTTAGGTGGATTGAAAAATTAAAAAAGAAGACAAGTTGAGATATAAATGATATATTTTAGTAGAGAAATTCTAAAAAACACACCGCAAAAAAAAAATGTCTATGATATGTCACAGTAATGATCTTTGTGGTCTTTAATTATGACACATTATAGTGTTGGATATAACTTAGTTATAGCTTCTTGTGGTTGTTATTTTGGTTATGATTGAAGAGGTTTTTAATTATACATCAAGTAATGATTCGTAATGACTCTAATATTAGTTATTACCAAGGTTTAAAAATGAGGTGTTACGTAACGGTTTCGGCCGTTACGTAACGGTTTCAGCCGTTACGTAACGGTTTCAGCAGTAGGCACCACGCGTTACTCTCGATTTTGTGGTGTGATTGAAATTCACAGGTGTATCGGCCGTTACGGCCGACGTAGCGGTCGTAACGGTGGCGTAACAGCCGTAACGGCCCGTTACACCCGTTACAGGGCTTTTTTTGCTGATTATTTTCAAAAAAAAAAAAACAAAAGAAATACGGATGGTTCAAATGCGGATGGTTCAAACAAAAGAAAAAAACAAAAAAACAAAAGATGTGGTACATACCTTTATTATTCAATATCAATCACTGGTTCAAATGCTTTGCTCTTTTGTCTTTTGTCTTTACAGCACTGGTTCAATTACTTTTCTCTTTTGTCTTTACAGCACATGAACCACTTCGAGGTGAGGTGTATCCATCCACAAATTTTTAGATCTGAAATACGGATGATATAAGTGAGAAATAGAGAGAGAGAAGAGAGAAGAGGGAAGAGGGAAGAGGGAGGAGATGAACCTGTGTTGAATCTTCAAGACTGCCTCTGTTCTGTGTTGAAATCAGTGACTCTTCGGCTGCCCCTTTGTTCTTCAACACAAAATTTAAGTGCTGCCTCTGATCTATTTACGTCTTCAACCGAAGTGCTGCTTTTGGGGAAGATACAGGTTCATCTCCTCTGATCTGTTTACATCTTTTTTTATTTTGTTTTGTTTGTTCAGCTTCCTGGGGAAGATACACCCTTGGGAAGGTATATAAATTATATAATATAATATAGCATTTTTGTGCATTTCTGTTTACTTCTTTTTTTAATTTTATTTTTGTTTGTGCAGCTTCCTAGGGAAGAAACACCCTTGGGAAGGTATATAAATTATATAATATAATATAGCATTTGTTTTTTTTTATTTTATTTTTGTTTGTGCAGCTTCCTGGGGAAGATACACCCGTGGTCTGGCAAATTTTATTTATTTTTATTATTTTTCTTTTAACAATGATTTTCAGACTTTAAATTTTGTAAAACTTACAAAATTTATGTGATATATTTAGAGCTATTCGCAAATTTATTTTTAGTATTTTTATATAATAATTAGTGATTGATTTTTTTTAAATTATATATATATATATAATATATATCTAAGCTATGCATTTATTTTTAGTATTTTATATATAATAAGCAGTGATGATTGATTTTTTATTAATATCTAAAAATCATAACACCTATAATGATATTAGTACATTTTATTAATGTCAGTTTTTATTTGATTTTTTTTTTCTTGCAGGTTATCAAAAAAGATAACAAAAATACTCATACAAGTGATTTGAAGCCCAAAAAACAACTATGTATGAATTTTTTTCTTTATAATTTATTTTTTAATTTTTATATGATTACATTAGCATATAAACTCCAAATGTATAAATAGTTGTTGCAATTTTTTTTATAATCACTTCATTTAATATTTAATTATAAATATTTTTTATTTTGTTATTGTGATGTGTTGTGACAACAATGTTGAAGTCACTATTTTTTTTAAAAATATCTTTTCAAAAGAAAACAAAAATCAATACCTCAAAAAAATTCTTTATAATTTATTTTTTAATTTTTATATGATTATATTAGCATGTAAACTCCAAATGTATAAATAGTGGTTGCATTTTTTTATAATTATTTTATTTAGTATTTAATTTTAAATATTTTTTTACAATTATTTCATTTAAAAATAAATTTAAAAAATGTATCAATGATGCAGAATTCAAATTCAAATTCAAAAATGCCACGACAAAAGGGTGCCAATGATGAACCCCCAAGTGATGATATTGGTTGGAAATTTGGAACTCAAGTTGAATGCACTAGGCATCATATTATTTGCAAATTTTGTGAACATCACATTAAAGGTGGGATTACGCGTTTCAAACAACATTTAGCACATCAAACAAGACAAGTGCATTCTTGTCCTAATGTTAGTAGAGACGTGATGCAAGAAATGATGAAACATTTACAAAATAAGAAAATGAGTAAAGCAGACAAGCAAAAGAGAAAAGCTGAATTTGAAGCACATATTAGGGGAGATGATCTCTATGATGAAAATGAAGGGGGAGATTTTGTAGATCTTCGAGATGATGACTCTGACTCTGATCCAGAGATGACCAGGGCTAGACAAGCAAGTATTTGTTCACAACAACAATGGGAGGAAATGCAACAATTTAGGCGAGGTGTTGCAGGTCATGGATCACAATACGATGCAGGTGGTAGTTCTGGTGCAGGGGGTAGTGCTCAAAGAATGCCAAAAGGGTCAGGTATTGCTAATGTTTTTCGTCGATCACATTCTGTGCGTGAAACTGGTGGGAGTGGACGTAATTGGATTAAGCCCAATGCTCCTGAAGCAAGGTTGAGGGCAATGGATGTAGAACTCCAAAAGAGCAAGAGTACAAAGCAGCGAAAAATCTCTACAATAAATTTACAGAAGTTAAAGGAGAGATTGGGATGGGCACTGTCCAAGTTTATACTCTATAATCGTATTCCATTCAATACAGTTGATTCAGAGTATATACAACCCATGCTTGATGTTGCTGTTGAAGTAGGGCTAGGAGTAAAGGGTCCTAGTGCTTATGAAGTTTCTGAAGTATATTTGGGCATGGAGCATGATGAAATGACAGAATGGATAGGATCATTCAAGGGAATTTGGGCAGAGAGAGGTGTATCCATCATGTGTGATGGTTGGAGCAGTCTAACTCGGCAACACATCATCAACTTCTTAGTGTACTGCAATAAAAGTACTATATTTCACAAATCAATTGATGCCTCTAATATTATTAGTAGGACTGCTGAATATTATTTTGGGTTGTTAGATAAAGTTGTTGATGAAATTGGAGAACAATACGTTGTTCAAGTGGTAACTGATAATGAACCTGCACTGAATGCTGCCGGTAAAATGCTAATGAGAAAAATGAAACATTTATATTGGACAGCTTGTTCAACACATTGTATCGATCTCATGCTAAAAGACATAGCCAATAAGAAAAGTGTAGCAAAGGTGATTGAAGATGGTAAAACCATCACCAATTTCATTTATAATAGTGGATGGGTGTTGGATTTAATGAGAAAATTCACTGGAGGTAAAGAATTGATTCGACCTGCCATCACTTGATTTGCTACAAATTTTATTGCCATTGAGAGTATTGTTAGATATAAACAACAATTGAGAGCTATGTTTAATAGTGATGAGTGGAAGAATTCTAGATGGGGGAAGGCAAAGACTGGGCAGCCTTACAATGTGAAAAAAATTATTTTGGAAAAGGAGTTTTGGCAGAAAGCAACAGAGTTGTGTATAGTTCATGAGCCCCTAGTCAGAGTATTAAGGTTGGTTGATGGGGATGAGAAGCCAACAATGTGTTTTATATATGAAGCTATAGATAGAGCAAAGTTGGCAATTAAAAGAGATTGTCACTACTACACCGAGTATTGGAAAATTATTGATACTCGATGGTCTTTTCAATTGCATCAAGATTTGCATGCGGCTGGTAAGCGTTACGATTTCAATTATAAAATGTATATTTATTTACAATTATTAATTGTCTTCTTATTTTTGAAGGATATTTTTTAAATCCTCAATTCTAATATGGTGTTACCTCATCCAATGAAATGATAAGAGAAGTGATGGATGGACTTAAAAAAGTAATTACCAGACTGGAGCCTAATATGGATGCTCAAGTGAAAGCAACAAATCAAGTACGTACCAATTATTTAAATTTTAATAGTAATAATCTACTTTTGCAAATGTTACTTGTAATGATTGTCCAAATTGTAGGTGTTGTTGTTTCGAGATAAACAGGAAACTTTTGGTACTCCTTTAGCACAAAGAGCATGGAAACAATCAAATCCAGGTTTTATTTTCAAAATTACAAATTTATAATACATAAATACTTAAATAATTTTTTTATCATATTTTGACTTATGTCTAATGTAATGCAATTTTGTGCAGCTGAGTGGTGGATTATTCATGGCAGTTGTGCTCCTGAACTTCAAAAAATAGCTGTGAAAGTATTAAGTCAAACCACCACATCATCTCACTGTGAACGTAATTGGAGTACTTTTAGTCTCATCCATACGAAGACGAGGAATAGATTGAAATATAAGAAAATCCAAAGATTAGTCTTCATCACCTACAACATGAGATTAAAATTGAGACATGTTAAAAGAAGCAGCCAAGAGGAGATTGATAGGAGTTTTAATCCTATTAACTTGGATTATATATTTGAAGAAGATGATCCAATAAGTCCATGGATAGAAGAAAGGGAAAATCCTTTGCTAGATGGTGTGGATAATTCTGAATGGCTAGATTTGGTCTCAGATGATGGTGGTGATGGCGGTGACGATGACAGCAATGGCGATGGCAGCGATGGAAACGATGGTGGTGGCACCCATAGATATCAAGCTCGACGCACTTCTCAAAGCTCAACTCCTACTCTAACTCAAAGTGATAATAGTGGTGGTTTAACACCATCTGATGGAGGAGGTGATGATGGTGATGGTGAAGGCACTTCTCACGGTGACGGTGGTGGTGATGGCAGTGATGGTACTAGTTTTGGTGCAGGAAGTGAAGATTTTATTGGAGGATTTAGATTATGTGATGTTGGGGAACATTATGATATTGGAGAACCTGTTGCACCTTTACCCCAACTACCTAGGAGGTTTCGTGGTAGTGATACACGTAGGGATGAAAGAAGAATAAGAAATAGAGAACAACAGCTTGATTCATCTGATAGTAGCCATAGTTATCCATATCACCCTTACCCATCCTATAGCAGTGATAGCCAGAGCTATCCTTACCAACCTCAACCAAATTATCCTTGGCCCCTCAACAACATGGTCCTGTAGGATACGGTTTGCCAAATTATCAACAAGCCCAACAAGAGTATGTTGATCCTTTTCTGGGAAGGTATCCATTTTCTCTCCCAGTGCACGAAACAGAAAGGGATGACATGATTAGCACAGTTACTTATATATTTCCTACCGGATGGGGTGAAGGTAGTAGTAATCAAGCTCAACAATCTGATTCCCAAGATGCACCACGTCACTCATTTTGGTGGGGTGAAGGTAGCAGCAACAATCAAGCTCAACAATCTGAATCCCAAGATGCACCACGTCACTCATTTTGGTGGTGACATTATGTAATTTTAGTAGTAACATTATGTAAAATGTACTCTCTGTTATTTGTGATTTATGCTATGATGTTATGTACTTTGTCAAGTATTTCCATTAAGGATGTATACTTTTTTAAAACTATTTGAGTTAAAATGTACATATGCCTCCACAAGTATAATAATTAAAAATAATTTTATACATCTAAGTTCAATAAAAAAAATTTTTGCCACAAGTGTAATATGGATTTATGACATATAAAGTCATTAATTATTGAAATAAAATGTAAAAAAAAATATTTTCTAGTGATTTAAAAATATGAAATATATTGGATCATACTTAAAAATTATGAAAAATTTATCAAAATTTATTTTAAAACCCAATAAATATGATTTTAAAAAAAATATATGCATATCGGTAAGTTTTTGTAATATGGATTTATGACATATAAAGTCATTAATTATTGAAATAAAATGTAAAAAAAAATATTTTCTAGTGATTTAAAAATATGAAATATATTGGATCATACTTAAAAATTATGAAAAATTTATCAAAATTTATTTTAAAACCCAATAAATATGATTTAAAAAAAAAATATGCATATCGGTAAGTTTTTTGCAAATTGTGCGAAAAATAAAAAAATTCACAGTTCCGGTAACCGCAACTGTTACGCTACGGCCTTTACACCCCGCAACCGCAATCACGTCACCGCTACCGTTACGGCGACCGCAACCACTTTTCAGAACCTTGCTCTCTAACTATTCCAAATTGATAGCAATATACATAGACAACCCTCTAATAATCATTAGTAGTTAATGGAATTGTCAAGTCTATTTTTCCCCATGACTTCCATGACAACAAGATTTTTTGTGATAATACAACTAAATGAACAAAAAGGGGTTGTATTAAACATCTTTCTGAATATTACTTTTTCATGAAACTACATCTTTTGTCCAATTTAAGGCACAAAGTATCATTGTATCAGTATCCATAGGTTGGAGTTTTCATTAATTATTCCCAACAGAAATAAGTTGCTTTGCCAAACCAAACCAAACCAAACTAAGTCTTGTGTCCCAATCAGGTCGGGTCGGCTACATGAGTCTGTTTTCGCCATTCCTTATGTCAAGGATTATATGCTCAGTCAACAGTTAATTATTAGAGTTAATTAAGTGGCAAATGCTAAAGAGTGCCCTTGGGGCATTCTTTAACTTTGGGATTCAGCTAAAATCTGTCTTGGAAACGGAAGCATTAAAAATTATATTGATTTCAATCAAAAGTGCATTGAATTTTAACGAAAATTGCCTCGTGTTCTTCAATTCTTTTGTCTTTTTCTTGTGCCACAGGGGCACTTGTTATCAAGACCCGTATTAAGTTATAGAATGTTAATTAATAGGGATTGACTGTACACAGCTATTCTCTCATGTCTGTTAATTAGAGAAAGTTTGCTGTGCCTGATACCTTCCTGCTACATTCATTAGCATTTAAATTCTTTTGATGGATGTTTAGAGAGAGAGAGAGAGAGAGAACAGTATTAGGATTCAGATGCAGACTAGCAGCAATACAAATACTAAGGTTAGATGATTCACGCCATTAGGGGTTACCCATCCTGTAATATTTTGTCAGCCAAATATAAAATCTGTTAAACTAGTTGTATTCCTGCGACTAACTCAACTTGCCATGTTCACATGTATTGCCAGTATGTAGTTTGTGATATGGATCAATATCTTTGTATTAGGGATGGCAATTTGAAACCGGCCCGATGGGGACCCCGACCCCCGACCCCGATGATTCACGCCATTAGGGGTTACCCATCCTGTAATATTTTGTCAGCCAAATATAAAATCTGTTAAACTAGTTGTATTCCTGCGACTAACTCAACTTGCCATGTTCACATGTATTGCCAGTATGTAGTTTGTGATATGGATCAATATCTTTGTATCTTGTAGGTAATTTCTTCATTGAGCTTCTTTGATACATTTTTTGTGAATATATTCGTAGGTATTCACGCCATTAGGGGTTACCTAATGTAAAATCTGTTAAACGAGCAGAGTCTAAATCTGCTCCTTTTTGGTTCCTTCTTGACAAACTCTCCTTGTTTTCAGCTAAAACACCTTGAGTTTGAATGGGGGTGTGAGAATATATTCGTATATATTAGGCATTGTATATATTAGGCATGTTTGTGAAGACTGTATTTCCTTTTTTGGTCCCATTCTTGTATTTCCTTTTTGGTTAGTCATTAGGGTTATATAAACTAGTCTTGATGTGATTGATACACAAGTTGAATATACATACGGGTTTGGTTATGGTGTGCAACTTACACCTTACACCTTATACCTTACACTTACACCTTACACTTACACCTTTTGTAAAAAATTAAACCTTACACTTACACCTTTTTTGAGGTTGCACATGGTGTGCAACCCACTTGCACCTTACACCTTACACTTGCACCTTACACTTACACCTTATACTTATACTTACACCTTACATTTACACTTTTTGTGTAAGTGGCACATGGTGTGCACTTGCACACTTAAGAAAACTCCTATACAGAAAAGCTTTCAGAAATCTTACAATATTAACTTATGAAGAGCCATAACCTCGAAATCTAAAGAATAGTTCATAGAAATATAAAAAAAAAATTATCTAATAATAAAGGCCCTGTGAAATCAATTCCTATTTGATAATGAGTATGGAAAGATAAATTTGAGAATGTAACCCTATACTATGAAACATGAATTAATATGACACTAATAAAAGCTCAACAATTGATTCCAAAAATGTATATCGCCTGTGGTGTTAGATTAGAAAGGTGATGACATAGCTAAAATGCTGCATAGCATCTTTCTTGCTTGGTGAGTTTTTCATCAATTGAAAATTTCAACAAATTTAATCTGGATCAATCTTTTAGAATTTAGATTTTGTTGAAAAAGAGAATCACCACAGGAGGAAAAATCTATCTGCAATTGGTTACCACCCCCCCTAATCTTTACTAAGAAAAAGAAAAATACAAAAGAAAGAAACTAAGATATAAAGAAAAGTTAGCTACATGCTATTGTAAAGTAATTACATACAATTTTTCTTTTCTTTTCTTATATGACATTAGATCACACTTTCAGATTTTCAAAATTGACCTCCCCTTTAGCTCTTTCGAAATCTTAGTGGATTGAAATATGGAAGAATCTTAAAAAATGATTAGCCTTTTTTATTTTTAGAAGTTTCAAGTGGGCTCAGTTAACCCTACAAGGCTATATGTCGCTCTGCCACTGAGTGGTGACATATGAAAAGGCACTTGCCTTGACTTATGGAAGCCTGTTTGTTTTCTTAGATATGTTCCACCCTTGTTGGGAAAACCGCTAGATAATTTGTCTAAATCTCAACCTACAGCTGAATGGAACTTACCATCATCTGGCAGGAACACAAACTGTTTGGATATCAGATGAATGTCATTCAATATATTAGTCCTTTGGCTACAAATGCAAATTGTGATTCTTGGACAGGGTATACTGTGGTGGGTTCTGTGAATAAATTTATTCTCTCCATATGATAGATACTGGTGCTATATAGAATGTAACATGTACTATGTCATTGTACAAAATTATACAAGCTGTTGATATTCCTCAAATTAGTAAAATCTTCAGGGGAAATTAAGTCTAACCTTTCATCCTTCTCAAATACGCACAACATAATGAATTTTAATTTCTGAGTTAGAAACTACCTCATAAATTTTTTTACTTCTTTTTAATCTTGCAATATAAAGAAAACAATATTCCCTTCTTTTGTGGTTCCTAAGGTTGTGTTTGGTTCATGGATTTGGGGGGATACGTTCCACACACCTTTTCTCTTTCCATTTCCAAATCCCTCTCGAAATCCATGAACCAAACACAGCCAAAAGGAAAGACTAATCCCAGGAAATTTCTGGGAATGCAATGCCCATCATTATTATGATCTGATTAGTTGAAAGTTCTTTGCCATCTTATTTTTCTTTCTTTTCTTTCTTTGACATTGTTTGGTGCCTATTCTGCAGGAATCTTATTTGCATATGCTATTTTCTAAAGTTGCTTGGTGTTTCACTCGGTAGTGGTGAGTCCTGTTTCAAATTTGTCAATGTTTGTTGTTCAAACAATGTCGTATGTTCTGCCTTGCAAGGTTCACCTTGCTCTAGCTGTTCAAAGGAAGAATTGTTAGAAACATTTATGTTGTGTTTGGTTGGGAGATT